GGAAAAAATGAAGTAAGTGTAACTTACAAAGAGTTAGCGAAACGTGTACGTGGATTCAAAACGTGACTACCGTAAATGTCTACTGGAATAGTGCTGTCATTTCCTCGTGGAAAAAACGGATCTTCCTCGTCCACTTCTACGTAATCTGATTGCCTAAAATGCAAAAATTGAAACATTTGAATTGAATTTTTATCTCATCTATTTTTTTGGTTTAAAAAAAAAAGTGCAATTTAAAATTTTATATTCACAAGCTACTACATTTTCGATATGATTTCAACTACAGACTGTATTTAACTGATTTCATTGAAAGCTTAACATATATATTTAAAATCAATTTTTAAATTTGTCTTCAAATCATAGAAATACTTACAATCGAGCGAATAAATGCCAACTTTTGGATACAATAAGTAGAAGTGTGAATAAGAATGCTTCAAGTAGAATTAAACAATACAACAAAATCGATGATCCAATACTGTAAAAGTGAAAAAAAAAAATCTTTTAAAAATTAATTAAATAAAAATTTAATTTGTACTATTTCATTGAATACATGCAAATATTTTCTTAAATATTTCAACAATTTTATAACCATTACTTACATTCCATCAACACAAAAACTACGTTCCATAATTAACATATCCTTGTGATAAGTATAACATGAAACCGTTGTTTCAAGTGATCCCATACTTTTTAATGCAACTGTTATGCCATCATTAATTATCTTAACCTGTTCGATGAGCTGAAATTGATAATTTATCAGATAAGTAAAAATGAATAGTTATACTTTTAAGTTTGTGAAATTCGATCCGATAAATTGAATCAATCTTCATTTTACAATTCATTTCCCTTTCATCCTTTCTTTCTCTAACCAATTCAATCAAATTATTATTTACACGATCTTGATGGATGTTAAAAACAAAATTTAAAAAAAAAAAAAAGAAAAAATCAAATTAATTTATATTACCTCAACTACTTCCCTGCTATTATTGAATAGTATTCCAATTTTGGAATCAAATTTTTGGCTCATTTCTCGTACATCCGATAGTTCCTTACTGATTTTATCCATATGGATTACACTTGGTAAATTATCATGATTAACTGTTGGATTACATTTTCGATAAAATTCAAACAATGCCATAGTTTCATTTGACATATGTTCCCGAATGAATTGAGTACCATCTGCGCAAAAATCTACTAATGCCTTGAAAAAAAAAAAAAATTGAAAATTCTTTAAACACATAAATAAATTAATAAATATTAGAATTCAATCATTAGCAAACAAAAATTATATGGAATTCAAGAAATTGGGAATAAAAAAAAAGAAAAGAAAAAGATAAAATAATTAAACCATAGATGTTGGAAATATAACAGCTAGTAATAGCCATCCAACAATAAAAATTGCAAAACCAAGACCGGAAAATACCACTGCGCCTTTTCGTGATTGCCGACAAAACGCAATAACACCAGCAAAAAGTACGATAAGCATAATTGAAAGTAAAGTTGCACAAAGAACCCATCTAAAAGTAAACTACAGTAATATTTGACAATAAGTATTAAAGAAAAAAAAAGGAAAATATTATGAAAATATTTTTATTTCAAATATTTCCATCAATCTCTATTCTGCAAAGAAAAAAAAAAAAGGAAAGTTAATTTAATTACCTTTCTAGCTCAATTCGTTGCGTATAGAGTGAACTACGTTCAAAAAATACATTTCCTGATAATACTTTCCTGAGAAAGGTCAAATCTATGCCCAATAAATCGACTTTTTGCGATACAGAATCCAATACTGTTATAAATTCATGTAAGGCCTAAAAAAAAAAAAAAATGAAAAGAATGAAAAAAAACATTTGCAATATTTTTTTTAACCGTTGAAAAAATTTCACCATTTTTAAATAATTAATTAGTGTAAGAAAAAGAAAAAAAATTTATAAAATTTAAAAATTTAACCGTTTTATTTATATCAGCCGTTTTTTCTGCTGCATTTTCTACAGCTGTTGATAATGTATCGATTTGTTTAACGGTTTTCAAACAATAATCATTCAATAAATTTGACTAAAAATTAAGAAATTAAAAAGAACATGCAAACTTTACAACAATATGAATTAATGATTAATGATTTTTTCCTTTCCTCTCTCTTCCTCTCCCTCTCTCTCTCCCTCTCTCTCTTTTTGAATACAGAATATGCTAGCTATCAAATGAAACTATTTGAGCAAAATTTGTGACATACAAGAAATTTGCAATTAAATCATTGGGAATGCTTTCATTTGAATGATATGTAATAGTAAATTTCATTAAATTTTAATTTTAACCAAATATTTTGTAAGAATTGTTAAAAATTATTTCCATTTTTTTAGCAAATTATTCGTTTGTTTTAAGAAAATGATCAATGAAATGAAATGAAAGATGCGTTCAAACAAGAATAAGAAAATCATGGAATAAGCAGAAATAAAACAAAAAAAAACCGAAGCAAATAATTTTATAAATAATTAATCATTTTTGAAATTATCAAAACATGAAAAAGTTATATTTTATTAGTAACCACAAAAGAAAAAAAAAAATTGCAAATAAATAAACCTGTGAATCAGCAAATAATAAATTCCGTGAGATATCTTCAGCACTGGTAATTGAATTCATTATACTTCGATTCAAATGTTCATTGCCAAATAAGCATATTCCAAGACAAAAGCTAAAAGTTTCCATAATTATTGTTATGCTTAAATTCGAATAAAAATTAATTTTTTACACAATGCAAAATTTAGTTTAAAAAAAAAGTAAAAATAAACGCTTACAAATAGGAATATTTCATGGATTAAAAATTTACGAAAAGTTTGCAAATCTAATATTTACCTTAAAAATTTTCCATTATTTTATAGATTAACTTTAAATCATATGAAATTATTTCATCTATATGATATGGTATACAATAAAAATTATGAAACTTGTTAAATTTTAATTTTAATTAAAAATAAAAATTATGATAACTTACAAGCATATAATGCTAATAATGAATAGTACGAGTGATAGTTGACGAACTCGTCGTCTTGATTTTACATTTGTATCTTGCTTGATGCAACATTGACAAATCCATGTTATGGTAATTGTCAACAATAATGCTGCACCAATGAAAAGGAATGCACCAACAAACAAAAACAATGACTAAAATTAAAATTAACATTTAAATATTTCTCATAAATATGATGTTAATTTTTTGAAATAAAAAAAAAAGAGAAAATTAGACTATAATATAATAATATATAAATGGTATAGTATAAATAATTTTGAACTAAAATTTGATATTATAAATTATAAAATTTATATCTTCAAAGTTATCATTTTAAATGTAGCAATGAATAAAATATGCGATTAATGTTCCTTTAAAAATTCTCCGGAAAGGGAAATTTTCAGTTTAGTCATCTAAATGGAATAGAAATTGCTTTCTTTTTCTTTTCTTTTCTTTTCTTTTCTTTTTTTTTTTTAGATAAAATAACCTTTAGTCTAGTTTTAGTGCTTAGTAAATGACATAAAATCTTTTGATGATTTTTAGATGCCTCTTTTTTTTTTTCCTTTTCCTATATGTGTGGGAAAAGCAAAAGAAGGAAAAAAAAAAAAGTCATTTAATGGTCGAATTTGCATTGAGAAAGAGGAAGTAGGAAATAAACTATCGTAAAAAAAAAAAAAACTAAGCCAAATAATCAAAAAATACCACTAATATAAATTGTCAAAATTTTTGCAAATATTTGAAAATTTTTATTACAAATGTTAAAATGCAATAAAATTATTTTAAAAAATTATTTTTACAATACAAATTTAAAACAAATAAATGAGAAGCAATTATTTTTAAAATAATAAATGATTACAAAGGAAGGAAAAAACAAAAAAAAAAAAAGAAATTTATGAATGTGTTAAATTTATACGAATCAATTCCTTGTTTAACATACGGATAATAATCAAAGGAATTTTAATCTGAAATACATTTGACAACAAAATTTGAAGAATAAAATTAATCTTTGCTCTTCAAATAATTTACAAAAAAGGTGTGCGTTTATTCGTCATAATTTTTAAATTCGAAATTTATTCATTTTGAAAATTATTTTCCTTTTTTTTTTTTCGAAATAACTTATAAATACATTTTCCTAAAATGTAACATATTCGTATAGCTGAAGAGTTATTGAAGCAAAAAAAAAGAAAAAAAAGAAAAAAAAACAAATTTTTATCAAAAAAAAAAGAAACAATGAATTTCAAATTCATCAAAAAAAAAAATTTGCTTAATCAAAAAAAAAGAGAGAAAGAAACCCATTTTTATTTCAGGTTTTAAAATTTTTTAACATGCAATATCTTTGCCTAATTATTTTTTTTTCCTGTCAAATGAGTATGAAATAATTAATTGCTTTTATATGATTTACTACAATTGTATTTTGATAAAATAATTGGCGACGTACGGTTAAACAGCTTGTCAATTTGTTAAGCTTGAATAATCTAAAGCAAACTTTTACATTTTTTAAAAATTTCAACAAATTTGAATTAAAAACTAATTTTAATACAGATAAAAAATATACATATATATCAATGTTTCCTTTTTTTTTTATGAAATTGCCAATATCGAAAAAGGCTTCGGTTGTTGCATTAATCATTTAGCATAGCGCTTTCAATCATCAAAAATGAATTTGAAAAACTAAAGAGAATTGAATGAGAGAAAATATTTGATGATGAATCATACGGTCAATCATCATAATCAAATTTGCTCATCAATTCTGTCAACAATAGGACTCTCGTCTTATTCCACTCTCGTGCTTGCTAATTCCGGAAAACATATCACATATCCCGTCAAAATTTCATCCTTTTTTTCAATCTTTTCTCCTCCATCACTTAATATAAATAAACAACAACAACAAACAACAACAAACAACAAACAACAACAAACAACAACAACAAACA